GAAATAGGGAAGTGGTGGATTCTGAGACAGAATTAGAATGAGTGGGACTGATAAGCAAAGCACAGACGCCCTTTCTCCTTACTTGAAAACACTTTGATTAACAGCACTTTATACTAGCTCTCACTTTTAATGACAGGTCTAACTTCAGACATTCTTATCCACCTCTCATTAAGGAAAATTTTGCAGACCTCCAGATGGTTGTCCCTGAGAGGATCTTCTTTCATAAGCTGTTAACTGCTACAGGCTTGTCTGGCTGCTGCCTCAGTGTGGCAAAATAAAAGAAACCTAAATCTAATTCCTGCTTTGCCATCTACTCACTTCTATGTGAACTTGCATAAATTTCTTAGCCTCCCTGTGCCTTATTCTTCAAGCATGAGTAACTGCCCCACCAGGTTAGTGGGACAACTGAAAGGAGTCAGCACACAAAAGTCTTAGCTCTAGTTTCTGGTCGCTGTTCACTAAGTGTCCTTCTCTGGGATAAGAATGAGATGTCCGTTATGGAAGTGGTCCAGGGCACCATGGGAATAGTTTTCACATATCAGGCACTGAGCAGACTGCTCTAGAAAGAGAACTGTGTAAAAAGAGGCGGAAGCCATAGCACAGGGAAGGAACTCAAGAGGAGGTCACGTAAGATCCAGTCCTCAGACTGATGTTACAAAATAAGGTCATCTTACTGATGACTTACCAAGAGATGAATTAAGTTACCAAGAGTTACAAAATTAATTTCATCCAGCCACTGTTCATTTATTGAGCATCTACCATGCGTCAGGAACCATGACAAATGCTTGGAGATACAACAATGAATGAAACAGACCTTGTGTGTGCCCTCATCAAGAAGAATTGCCTGAAAGGATGACAGGTGTAAAGTAAATAATCATAACTTCCTGTGTCAGGCATTGTAGTCAAACACCAAAGTGTCATGGAGTAAAAACAAGTCGAATTTTCCTGCATATCACACTAGCACTGCAGATGTTTCTCATCAACCCTGGCCTATTTTCCTTTGTGTCCCAGAGGATGCTATGGGTTCTGTGAATCTGAGACACCTCGTAATATCGATCAACATGTACTCCTTCTCCACCTAAGAAGTGAAGTCCAGTTTCTGTTTGTCTCACCTCAACTTTGGAAATAACTCAATCTAGAATTATTATGTTTTATAAATTCATTTGTGTTTGATAACAAAATCCTGCAGCATTTGCTACATACGAAGCATTGTTTCCAGCCCTTTGTCAAAATCACTAACAAACCAATATAAAACGTGGTGACTCAAAGTCCTAGTTTGTTTACTTACATTTTTGAATGACAGCAAAAGGTAAAATTTATTCATTCAGTGGCTTGCTATTCTATTTTTATAATAAGAGAAAGTACAATTTGCTGAGTGCTTGGTATGAGCAAAGTGAGGCTAAATGCTTTGCATCAGAGGTAACTAACCTTTGAAATAACCACAGGAGACTGGAACTGGTATTTTCTCTATTTTACATATAAGAAAACTAAGCTCAGAGCTGTTGGAGGATTTTCTCAAGGTCTCAAAGGTAGTGATTGTGTCAGCCAAGAATCAAAACTTGGACTGTTGGAGTGCAGAATCAGACATTGGGAACGCATCTAGTAGAAAACAGATGCTGTTCCAAGTGTTAATTAAGCCACTATACCAGACCTCCACAGCAAGTTCAGTCTTGGTGATCCCAAGAGTGGAGCAAGTGGACATTTTGATGTGGTTTCAGGGGAAAAAGTCAGCTTTATTTTTTAGGAGGAATGTAAAGAAAATTGTGATACCTGAAATGCTTTATAGAAAATGGGAAAAAAATATGGAGAAAACTGGTCCTGCAGAGGACAAGAGGGGATAATTGGAGCAGTATCTTAGGGGTAAACCTGCATGCTCAGATTAATGAGCCACAGCTTGCTTGAGTCTCCTTCCTGTTACAAATAAAGATATTTATACCTTTTCCACTTTGTAATGCCATGGATATGGGTAAGAATTTTCTGGAAAAATGTTATTTTTCTTATTCAGGTTGATTGATTTCTAGACGATTAATGGCCTTGAGTCCACAAAAGCAATCATACTTTAAAGTTGAAGGGTCCTAAAGATATTCCTGACACCAAAGAGTAACAGCACTTCAGTAACTGATACAGGTGTTCCATACACCTCACCCACCATCACCACCTCCCTCTTTAACTTGGGAAGATCTCCAACAGGGTTGTTTGATCATCACCCATTTCTCTCTCAGCAGATCAAATTTATTCACTCAAGGAAAAGCTATTGCGTCTTTACCAGTTATGATATTTGGAGTGTTTACTATGTGCAAAGTCAAACAACACTATGAAGGAACACACTTGTATTTCTTTTATACATAATTATTTTTGTTTTTTGCCACATCCCCGGAACAAATATATATACGACTTCATTTATAGTATTTCCTAACAATCAGCTTTGCATACATAGTGCTTTATGTTCCCAAGTTTTTACACGTTTAATTTCAGGTAATCTCCCCAAATCCTGTTCTTAGACCCCAACACACGTGAAGAAACATAGACCCATAGATTAAGTAATATTTATAAGGCCAAAGATAACAAATGGATAGGTCAATCTACAGTATTTTGACTCCATATATATAGTCTTCTGAAAACTATTCTTCCGTAGGGATCCAACAGCAATGCTGTCTTCCTCAACACTGTATCCATAATACTTGGCACAGTAGCAGCCACACAGTGGATGTTCAATCAATGTCTTTTTAACTTATGAATATAATAATAAATAAATTATAAGGCTTCAGGAGTTATCTAATTTAGCCCTCAAATTCCATAGATGAGACAGAAACCAATTGGATTAAATGAATTATCCAAGAATATTTAGACTTAGAACGAAATTTCCTTGATAGGGAATAGCTACCAATAATTTTTATTATGGTTATTACTATTATTTTAGACTTTTAACTTAAAGCCAGGTCTGGTGCCAACTCATAACAGTTCTTACTATTATAATTGCTTAATAGAAAAGCAAACCTCCTGACATTTGTCAGGGATGAGTCCTAAATGTCACCATGCATAGTGACCAAAGAAATTTTGCTAAAAAAGCTATTTCCTAAGTGGTTAAAGGAAGAATTAACAACTCAGAGAAGAACAGAAATAAGTGCACTCTTGAAAAAACAAGGAACATTAGGTTTTTCATAGTTTGCTTTCCTAGAGTGTTGGAAAGTCACACACACACCCTCACTTCCAACATTTAAATCTTTTGATCAAGGTTTGAATTCCATTTTTATTTGGTAACTATGTGACTTTGGGAAATTAGATAAATGCCCCTACCAATAAACAGAGAAAAGAATTCCCTTTAAAAGGATGGGTTCTGAGAAATGGTTGCTGGAGGGAACTGGAACATAGCAGAGACCATCAAAGGTTTCCTTCCTTCCCTGGGAAACAGAAACCCACCAATAAAACTGCTACCTGCTCCCTTCTTGACAGATCTCTCTCAACATTTAGTCTACTTTCCAAATCTTATCAACTTTAAAGATTAAATTCAATAGTATATTTGTTAAGTCTTTGCACTAAGAAAAATGCTACCAGTAAACAAGCATACAGAGTGTACCTAGTCAGGGAACAAAGATTAATTGGTCAGCTAATCCCACTATGCTTTGTATTTTTATAGCTTCTGTTTCTCAAGAGATTTTAGACTTGCATTCATAACTCAGGATTACTAAAGCACACTTTGAAAGCTAATTGTCAATATGTAATCTTAGCAAATTTACTTGCCTTCTGCAAACAAGACGCTTAAATCTTGTTATATTTCCTGTTGTTTCCATATATTAATCAGTATCTATCATTGGCCACTTTTCCTTATTTTTTTATTTAATAGCAATTGGTACCATTATTAAGAACAGCTTGTTGTGATTAGGTCTTATTATCTATAGCAAGTGAGCCACAATATCAATGCGCACAAATCTTAACACAAAGCATTGTATAATACTTCAATATCTGGGAATCAATCAGGATGTCAGCATTCATTCATTACTAAGATTTCTTCTTTGCAAGAAGAAATCAAGCGAAATGGTTATATTATCTGCACAGCCAACTCAATTCTATTGCCAAGGCCCACAGTTAATTGAGCTCAATCTACTCTGGGCATATTCTCCTCTTCTAGAGTCCTCCCCCTCTCTTCTCTCTCAAGTTGCCGCTCACCCCACATACACCTCTACCACCAAGAGTCTCGCCAGCTGGTACACTCCTTATTTTCAAATTCTGTCATTATGAATTCTAATTTGACATTTTGACAAGTCACACATGGCCTGCTTTGTAATGCACAAAACTAATCCTTTACCTTATTTACATTGACATTACACATTTAAGGTGACAGCTCATAACTGTGGATGTGAATCAGTATCAATTAAATGAAATTATGCAAAGAAGTGCCTGCCATATATAGCAAGTGCTTAATGTTTACCTACTATTTTTAGTTCTAGTTTTGTTTTTAGGCTATTGCTTTGAGCATGATTCAATTCCCACTACTGGGGATTGAACCCAGGGCTTTGCACATGCTAGGCAAGCACTCTACTATTTGAGCCACACCCCAGCCCTTTTGTTTGGTATTTGGTTTTTGAGATAGGGTCTCCCTAACTTTGCCCAAACTGGCCGGGAGTTCTTAGTCTGCTTCTACCTCCTGAGGATTTCAGGTGTGCACCACCACACCTTGCCAAAGCTATGAATTCTTTAAATGAATGTCATGTCTTCTATTTCTGCATGCTCTAAATTGAAATAATGAACGTGATGGAAATAGTCTGTCATCTAGCATTGTGTTATTATATCATTGACTAGATTTCAGGAAAACAGAGACTCAAATACTTTATAGCTGTAGAGTTGGAATTCTAATTCAAGCAATGGAAGAGCAAAGCCAGTATTCTTCGCCATGATGATAGACACTACTTTTCGTGTCTGTCCTAGCTCCTTGCATGGTAAACACCGATAAACCCTTACTGTTTCCGTTGTCTTTTCTGATTCTTCTCCCTTGCAGATGGACCCCCATGAGAACATCTTACTGAGCACTCTTGAGATAAAAAATGAAATGGCCACTTCTGAAGCTGTGATGGGACTTGGAGACCCCAGGAGCACAATGCTGGCGTATGATGCCTCCAGCATCCAGTATCGGAAAGCCGGGTTACCCAGGCATAGTTTTGGCCGAAATGCTCTGGAACGACACGTGGCACAAAAGAAAAGTCGCCTGCGGAGACGCGCCTCCCAACTGAAAATCACAATCCCCGACTTGACTGACGTGAATGCCATAGATCGGTGGTCCCGCATCTTCTTCCCGGTGGTTTTTTCCTTCTTCAACATCGTCTATTGGCTTTATTATGTGAACTAAAACATGGCCTCCTGTGGAAAGCAAGGATGAGATTCCTCCTCAAAACAGTTGTACAGACTGATGTAGGACTTGGAAAACACATCAATCCAGGACAAAAGTGATGCTAAAATACCTTAGTTGCTGGCCTATCCTGTGGTCCATTTCATACCATTTGGGTTGCTTCTGCTAAGTAAGGGATACACTAAGGTCCTTGTGGTTTTCCAGTTAAAATGCAAATGATTTGCACACATGCTGACAAGATTGAGTTTGAATGTTCCACTTTAATCTGTGTAGTATGCAGCCTACTCAGAGAGGGATTGTTTAGAAGACAGTATTAGAAGGCTCAATAGCATTGTCAGACATTTCCCTGAGACATATCCAGACACTCTTCATCTTCCTCCCTAAGGCTGACGTGCTGTTGAGATGGCACTGCGCTTAAGAATCATTGTTAGCAATGCCATGAGAATGTGTTACTTCAGAATGGTCTGTGCCTATCATGTTAATGTGAAAACGGTGTCATGGAAGATACGTCCCACTGGACTAGTAGATTCTCATGTAGTTGGCGCACAATCCAGATGTGGAGGCAGAGTGAGGGGTCAAGGCAAAGACTTGGTCATCCAATTTAGTCAGTCTCTTTGTTTGCTTAAGCACAAGGAATCAACTGTGGTGTCATTCATTTTGGCAGTTAGAGATAGGAAGACTTCTGAGCATTATCTTGTATGGCAGCCAAAGTAATTTTTAGTATAAAGCTATTTCTTAGGCGATTAAAATAAGAGTTAACAAGAGCGAACAAGTCAGAAATCCAGACATTTTAGCAAAATTCAAGCAAGCAAGCAAGCATGACCCTTATCAACTTCACACAGCATCTAGTCAGTCTATACATACTGTGTCCAGTGGCAAAGGGTAGAGTGAGAGGGATTTATTTTCCAACCTCACAAGTGTTGACAGCCTTACTGAAGAGGTTTTTATAGTTTATCTAATCAAAAGATAGCTATGAAATAGAAAAGTGGAGGGAATTAGAAGCATCTTAGATGTTCAAGATAGAGTGGGAATTATTTCAAGTATACAAATATATGGCACAAAGATAACGAACAGATTGTTGTTCTCACACAGCATCAGCTGTTTCTGCAACATTTCCCAAAGTTTACTTCTGAATTTTTTTAGGGTGTTTCAAAAGGAGGATTTGTTCCTTGCACTAAAGGATTAATGGTCCTCTTTAATTTTCTTACTTGCAAAATGCTGATTATATTCTTAGGAGACAGACATGGGCTTTGGAGAGGTTGAACTATGTTTGCTTATGTGCAATGAAGTTCACCTTTGTATTTTTCAAAGCAAGCAATACTTCAAAGACTACATGCACAAAAGGAGTTAGCTTGCGGGTTTATTGGATTTGGGGTTTTTAAGCGTGCTTATGTTGCATATATTGCAATCTGTCTAATCAAGGGAAAATATATACGAGAAGAAAATTATCGCGGGAAGAATAGAGCAAGTCAGAGGACAAACCAAACGGATCCGACGTCTTCGAGACTAAAGCTGGCTATTAAAGCCTCAGTTGCGATAATTGGGCAGCAAAAAAGAATACAAGTAAATGTGAGTAACAAAGCTGGCCAAGAATGTTTATGTCCATTTAATTTCGATATTTGTCCGAAAAATCGAAATGAGGGCCTGTGCTCCTTTCAAAGATCATACCACTATTGAGCAGTATGCATACATGCAAGGACAGGAATTGCGTAAGAACAGAGAAAAGAGAGAAGCCGAACTAAAAGCCACATAGGGAATAATCAACTATATTAAGGGTATTCCTCAATGATAAGACTCGCTAGAAGAGCCTCCAAATATTCCCTGACCTCTTTTCTTATTTGGAAGAAACAAAGAGCCAATGGTAACGTGAATGTCACAACTGATTTGTCTCCGATGATAGAGCTCCTCTCGGATACTATAGATTCTTTGAAAATTCTTTATCAGCTACGCGACAAGGTAATGGACTTTGCTGAGTATATCTATTTTTAAAAAAGAATCTATTTGTTTTCTCGTTTTCAGAATGGAGCAGTCTCCCTAATATGTAAACAATGAAGAATCTAACAGGCGTACTATCTTAGACCAAGGGACCATTAGATGTGTGTTATGAAGAGTGCTATTGAATAAGATTATTAAACAACACCCAACAAACATTCGTAATGTGGTTCTCTCCCTTTCGTGGATTCAGAACGTAATTGACTTTGACTCTAAATGAGAGAGACTCTCCTTAGTCACTATTCTGATGTATGTGGCACAGAAATATCAGAGAAAGACAAGATATTCATACTCTTTTAAAAACAAACATGTCAATTAGCTGCAGGCTTTGACTAAGTTAAATACCCCACAGATGCGATTATAGGTATTTATTTTCACTTGTTGCCTACGAGCGAAGCTGCCTCCTCTTTTATAAGATACATATTATTTTTAGAACAACCTACTGAGAATAGTATACTTTTGAGCTTCTCAGAGTTATGCGCCCTCGAACCCAAGCGTCTACAAAATGCTAATTCCATTTGTGCTCCAGAAGTAGAAGATGCACTTCGATATCCTCCCACAGGAGACAAGTACTTGTTCTCACTAGGCTTAAATTTGGGACTTTGCGGAATTACACACTACGAATAGAGAAGAAAGTGCCTAGCCCTCTTATACCTAGGGAGGAGAATAGGGAAAGTTTGGTGAGAAAGAGTAGAGAGAGAAAATCAGAAAAGAGGAGGCACAGGCAGTAATGTTCTAGGTAACCTCTGTGAGTGGGCACCTACACTATGGTGATAACAGCTCCTCGACATTTTCTGAAAAGTATCTTATATTCATAAAGAGGACAACTCAGAGCACGGTGAAGTACCAGCAAGGAATTAATAGGGCTCTAGGGGGCCAAATAAAAAGGAAACGGGCACAGTCAAGGGAAAAATGACCAAGCCAGAGCAGCCGTATATATGGCGAATTTCATAGTAAAAAAAGAGGCCCGATAGAAGAAAAAATTCTTGGGTAATATGTCAGTGCCATCTATAAGGTTCAACAACAAACTAGGGTTTAGTGAAGGATGTCTCAGAGAAGAAACGTGCAAACAATCAGAGGACTAGAGTTGAACGTGGAAGAAAGAAGCCGTTCAAAAAATAATATGAGTGGACAAAGTTTAAAACACCGACTTTCTGTCAATAACACTAGATTGCGCAAAGAAAGATACTCAAGCACACTCCTTCATAATATTGGCACAACTCAGAGGTGGAAGAGTCAACACAAGTAGAAAAAAAAAGAGTTGACTCATGCGGCCATGTCCGAGGAAAAATAATTAGTAGAGGTAGCAAAGTCAGTTGTAGTATCAGTTAAGCTATATGGTGTATAGTGAAGTTGTTTAGCAAATGATCAGGTGGCTAAATCAATTGTTCCAAAAAAGAAGGCAAAGAAAAAGATGCGGTGGAACCGGCTTCGACCCTGACCAGATAAGTGAGAAAGACCAATCCCAGTCGCTTCATGTCCAGCAGTTAAATTAAAGGACCACGAAGGTGTGTTCCAGAAATTCTCACATGGTATTACTATCCGTTTATACATATGTATAGTTTTTCTTTTGATTACAAAACAGCCAGATAGCCAGCAATTAAGGTGTTTTTTCATCTTTGTGAAATTCATAGGAAAATTCAGACTCTAAAATGCACAGTCTAAATGAAATCTTTGATCTCAATCTGTATATATACTGTACATGACTGCTAGTAGGTATGAAATGCACTTCAGAATTGAAAACTCATGCAACATAGTCATGTGTTTGCATAGGAATGTTACAGTTCTTTCTACTGCAATTTAATAACAGGGGAAAAGTCTCAAGCTGTGCCATCTAGACCTTTTCTCATTTCTTAAAAAGCAGTGCTAAGTAAAATAATAATAATAATGATAATAATAATTTATAAACCAAAAGACTACATTCTAGCATTAGGAACACACACACAAAAAAAAAATCTGTCAGCTTACAAAAGCACAACACATAAAGAAAGTGCTGTGGAGTGAGCCATGGAGAAATGAATAATTTATTTTAAGCAAGACCTGTGTTAAATTGGCAACAAAGACAATGTCCATTTTCTGCAGGTAACTGTGCTCCAGTTTTATGATTAATTTCATCTTCAAAAACAGAAACTGCAAAACATCAACAAAAGCAGGTCTTATCACATAGCTACATGTGTATATGTGTATATATAGAACCATATAAACACACATACATATATATGCATTCATTTGTCAGAGAAAGGAATAAGCTAATATGTTTTGTTTCCTTCATGAAACCAGTGCATAAGAATTTTTAATTTAGCAATCAACAATCGACATATTGAAATAAGAGATACAGGGTCAGCAAATCAATGCCTACGAACCATTGCACGGTTTGACACCACTATAGTACTGTACCTCAAAACATCAGAAGTTAAATAGTTCTCACCTCGCTCGTCTAACTGCTTTCTTTTTCAAGGACACAAGTAACATTGTCTATTGGTGATTTAAAAACAAACATGTCTTAAGAAAATGTAAAATGAAAAAAAAAATTCCTCCTGGGAGGAGCCAAAAAAAACAACAAAAAGAAACTAAATCCTACCATGTTGGTTAGGGAAAACTACAACGGTAGCAATCATACCATTTTGCTAGGTGTACAGATGTTATGTGAGCAACCATAATTTTCACTGAACGTGTGTAAATATTAAAACAGATTTCTTAAATATTTTTAACTTCTAATTTGTATTTTATGGTAAGGCAACATGATTCAGTTTATGGCTTAAGTTGATGTGTTATATAATGTAAATAATTAAACATGCTGTAAATGAGTAGTCAAGAGATACAAATAATTGTTTAGGGTTTTTTTCTTAATTTTTTTTTTTTTTTTTACTAAGTATTGTTTTACTGGAGTGCCCCAGCAGACTAATTTAAACACCCTTTTGCATAATGGCTTGGGAATCCCAGAAAGAAGAGTTTCAGCTGCTATCTCAAGCACAAATACAACGTGCATACACACACACACACAAAAAAAAAACCACACACACACACCCATAATCCTTCACTCCCCTGCCTCCTCCATGGGAAACCTGGTAGTGTTATTTTGTAGTCGGTTTACCAACCAAGAGATAAGCTTAGATCTGGGACATGGGAAAAGGAAAAATGATCGTTCAAATGGAGTTTTTCTTTTTATATGTCAAAGTACAAAAAACCAAAGTTGTGCAGCTTAAATCTCAATTTTCAAAAAGAAGAAGTTTGCATAGATGGCACTACAGAAAATAAAACATTTATTCATACCAGCTCCAGAAATTTCTTACACACAATGCATGCTAAAAGAGTTTTTTTTAATAGTAGCACTTTTTGTGTT